CGTCAGATAATTTAATTACTCTCATTGTTGGATCAATACTTTGCTTCTATGTAAATAAATATAGTACTTAGTACTGCCAATTACTTTTAAGGTAAAAAAATCTATGGTTTCATTTGTCTATTGTTAACTAACCTAATAAACTGGTAAAAGAACTAATACCTGATAACTGCGTACTATCTGGTTATTATAATTCATGGAAATTATGTGTATAGGGCCTTTAAAGACATTACATAGAAATTATTGGGCCATAAGGTCGCTCTCAGTTTTTTAAATGAACTGGTTCGAATCGTAAACATTCTTTTTATAAGAGTTTTTAGCGTTGCAAAAAAAGCCATAGCCATGATGGCATTGGCATTATTCGTTACTTTATCAAACCTATCAAAATACAATTTTAAATCGTCTGGAGCATATATTGAGAACATATTCCTTAATTAGTGTATCTAAAGTTTAAACATTTGTTTTTTCAACAAAGACGAATTAAAGTAACTGAGTAATTTAAAGTAACTTTGATGAATAAATATTTCACACTGACTGCGCACTAAGCATTAAAATTAAAGCTCATCGCACAATAGGCGTTTAAGTAAGATATACGTAACAAATGAATCCTGACGCGTAGCGTGCGCCGTGCCTTACGCCCCGCTAATAAATTCAACCCCTTACAAATTAATACCCACTGTTCCACTCTCCTGTTTCACATCATATAGAAATGATAATACGACAGAAGATTCAGTAGCTATAATAGATGTATTATTAAAATAAGAATAAGATAAAAATGTTGATTTAAAAAATATATTAGAAAGAAATAAAAATAATTTATTATTCTTAAGACATATCGCACAATGTCCAAAATAATGACAAAAACAATAATAAATAACAAAATGTAAAAAAAAACAACAACGTTAGTTTAGAACCAAGAAAAACAAAACGGAACACACAAAAAGCACTAAATGAAATAAATATGACAAAATAGGTTGAAATCTCAGTATATATTGGGCTCAGTGATATCTCGAATAATCTATCAGAGGCCGGTAACGCGCTTTTAGTAACTCCTTTAGAATTACGAATGTCCATGGGCAGCTCTGATTGCTTACCATCAGATAATCCGTCTGCTCGTTTGCCGAGCTACAGCATTAAAAAAAAACATAGGTACTTCGCTCTATACAAAAATATTTTGTTATAACTGTATAGAGTATAATATAACTGTAAATTTTTTATGATTTACAGGATACTAGTAAGTATAACTAGTTCATTTACTATCTACATACAACCGGAGACGACAAGCGAATAGTTTTTAATTATAAATACTCAACTACCGACCCGCTCCGGCTTCACACGAGTGCAAAGCTGATACTAAAATTCTCCACTATTTAAAAGATGTGGTTATACATATAAACTTTCCTCTTCAACCACTCTATCTATTAAAAACCCCATCAAAATCAGTTTATATAGAGACAGAGAAAGCGACTTTGTTTTATACAACCTATATAATAAAATTTCAACTTTAAAAATGCATTCTGAGTGCTTTGACCGACGCTTGTCGCAATCAATAAATACATAATAAATATATTTTTCTTAAACAAATATAAGATAACGTGGCACACTGTTACAGATTTTATTAAAATACCCATACTTTGTAGTTATCTGTATTTTCCATGATATACATTCATCAAATATTTTATAACTAAAATAATATACTTGAACGTCAATTTAAGAATCTATACTAATATTATAAAGAGGTAAAATTTGTAACTTTGTATGTAGAAGGTAATCTTTAGAACCGCTAGTCGGATTGCCAAAATTCTTTCACTGATAGATAGCCACAATGTTCCTGAGTGCTATAGGCTATAAAACATCACGCAGCGATCTGTAGGAGCCGAGCAGCGGGTGAAACCGCGCGAGAGTAGCTAGTGTTTTTATACATGCTTGTTAATTTATGACAACTAATAAATCATTGTTGCATATATATATTTTACTCTGTTTTTTCGTTAAAATGTATAATTTTTTTACATTGTTTTTATTATATCATAAGAATTGGCTATTCAGGTCCTGATGGTAAGCAATTAAAAGGGAAACGTTCAAGTTCGTTGCCGGCCTTTTGAGAATGCCAGAGTACAACATAGTATTACTTTTATGTTTGCACACAAGAAATTTAGGTACAGGTATTATCAACAAAATACTAAAACCAAAGACTACCGTCTCACCAGCCATGAAAATTAAGCTAAGTAAATTCAAAATTAACCCTTTAAAAATAAACAGAGAGTGGACAATTAGACCCGGATTCGCAACAACAGCTCTATACCTCCGTGTCGAGTTAGACTGGAGGCATAAGCTCATTTTTATGGTCCTGGCGACCCCCGATAACGCGCCCCCAACAATGCAAGATATTATTACAATGAATAACAGATAATTGTCGCCTCTCAGACCTCTATGTATAGATTAAATTGATTTGTTACGTATTTGTAATGCGTAGTTGAGTTTTGTAAAGGGTTGCGATTTTTTTTTGTTGTGCGGTCGCAAGGACCAACTTATTTTTCGTGAAGAACGTTGCGCAAAGGTTATATTTTTTGGTTACCTATTTATTTTCATTGGTTTTGATAATTTTCCTCCTTTGGTTTAAGACATTTTTTTTGTGCATTGCAACTAAATTTTCATTTGTCCCGCTTTATTTGTATTAATAAATTTCTATGCAGCTGTCTGAATATGAAAAAATGTACAATTTTGCTTTCCTTCGGCAGTATTTTTTTATATTTTTATTTTTGTTCGCATATTTTTTTCGTTAGCATCCGTTTAACAAAACATATATTGCAATAAAATGTAATGCTTAATGTAGTATGAAGAATATAACAATATTGTTATCTATTAATTCCTGATCGATATTGTTTTAGTAAGTTATTAAAATTGTTAATGAAGTAATAAATTCAGCATGCAAAAAAAAAAATAAACAAAGATAAACTAACGTCATCACAGACAGTAAATGATTATTTTAAATATTCTCTAGTAAGTTTTATCCGAAAACAATTGTAGGTACTTTTTTGACCCTTTAATTTTTTTATTCTTACTTCAATCGTACAAAAACTTGTTACCTAAAAATAAAAAGGGCCCCAATTAAACAAAAACCTTTTTTCATCATCATCAGGTATAATAAGAAAATAAACGACATTTATAAGTATATTTAATTAATAGAGATAAGGCCTTCAAACATCCGGAGCCATCTTGTTGACACATTTAATTGTGTCACTGAATGATTGTGTGTTTATTATACAAACTAGCACCTTTCCAGTGACTTTGCTAATGGGAGTATGAGACGTGTATTCAGGATGCTCTTTATTCAAATTCGAAAAAAAAAACAATTCCATATTTAAAAAATACGTTGTAATGAAAAACATTTTTCTTTTTTTAAGTCTGTTTAAAATGTTGTTTTATACATAAAGAATTAAGAAGGGAATGTAGCTAAGCTTAGCTTATTCTAATAATGCTTCATTAGACATGTACCATCACAATGCCTTTTCCTTCCCTATACTGCATATGTAAGGTATTAATCAAGATCTACAACGCAGATCATGAGGCCAATATATCAATATTATCATAATAATAATGATTTGCTTCGTAAAAACAATTAGTAACTTAATTGTGTTAACATTCATTTACTACGTAGTGTAGGGCGCCCTCCAGCTAGGTGGACTGACGACATCCGCAGGGTGGCTGGCAGTGGTTGGATGAGAAGAGCTGAACATCGAGCTCAGTGGCGTGCAATTGGGGAGGCCTATGTCCAGCAGTGGACGACAACAGGCTGATGATGATGATGATGATTCATTTACTATACGAGATTATGTGAGATTTTCTTAATTAAACTTATTTTATAAAGGTTTTAAAAACAAGGTTAGACTGCCTTTATTAACATGACGTTGACTCAATCATTGCAGAACATGATTACTGCACAAAAGCCTACCAATCTTATAAATATGATGTTTGTAACTCTTACGCGTTAAAACCATTGATCGCCTATAAAAATATATAATTTATAATCTATCGTAACCCGTAGGCTTCATTACGTAGGCTACTTTTTATCCTGGTATTGTGGGCGAAGCCGCTGAAAGAAACTAGTGTACTGCATAAAATAGCTTACGCAATTCCTATTCCTCTAATGATAATGATAAATTCAAACTAGACTAGAAAGGAAACTATCAAAAGTAGACATTGATACCCAAATTATAAAAGAAAACAAAATAATACTAAAAACATGAATGCACGGTAGAGGCAACAGACATTATGAAGAAATCAGTTAGTTATATTTCATTCAGAATAATTCTTAAACAATTAAAAACGCGAAGAAATGCTGTTACTAAACAAATACAGCTTTTTGTTCCACAGATAACGAAATACAGGTGTGTGGCTTTTGTTCAATGTTTGCCACAGATATGAAATTAAAAAAGATAATGAACGAGACCAAATAGTTTTTAGTCGTTTTATTTACTTTACGAATGAAAGGGTAACTGTGTGTGGTTCGTTCTTTCGTTTAATTATCTTGATTTTTTTTTTTTTTGTTAAAAACCACAATCGTTTGTTTAATGTTTGTTCTGTATTTAATTGTGACGAGATAAAGGTCTGTGGTTGAACCTTTCTTAATAAAACTTAGAGGTTTATAAATTTTTATTCAGGTGATTTATTTTGAGTGCGAACGATGGATCTGTTTAACCTGTTAAAAAATTTCACCGCTGAACTATTGTCATTTAAATATTTTTTTATATACTCAGTTTTCTTATGTTAACAAAATTCACTTTCACATCTATTGAGAGAAAGAGAGAGTTTTTTTTTTAATTTAAACATTTTACAATTTTGAATCTCCGTGTTCTTTTTTCTAAATGTTTGGAATTAAAGTAGTAATTGGTAACTTTTATTTTACTTATATTCGATCATCATTGTTTTATTACTGAAAGTAGTTTTCTTTAACATTTGCTGTCCTGAAACTTCAGATCCAATTAGCATGTTATTTAGCTCACCTGAGTCTCTTAGCTTCATCAATGAAGGGTCGCTTCTCCATCTCAGTGAGCAGCTTCCACTCAGCGCCCAGCCTCTTGGAGATTTCAGAGTTGTGCATTTTCGGGTTGTCCTGCGCCATCTTCCGGCGCTGCCCTCTCGACCACACCATGAAGGCATTCATTGGCCTCTTTATGTGGTCGTTGGGCTGTTTACCCAGAGACATTGTTAGATCAATTTTGACGGATTTTTATTAAACTTTTTCTTCAAAAATTAATTTCCTTCACACTGATACTCCACGCGCATTATTTTCGTAACAATATTTTTAACAGTTCCTTTTTATATTAGTAGTATTTATTTTCTTGTTTTTAATTTATGCGTTACATACAAAATATCGTCGATAACAACCGATTAGCCGCGCGTGTAGTGAAAAGCTCGTCGAAAGCTCAATGCGGCGCTTTTCTTGCTAGTGTCATGTTAACGGCGAACTCTGGCTTGTCCCCCCTTGGATTTCCCCCCTCCAGCGTGGCTGGCCAATGATGGTGGGCCGTGGGCGGCCGCTGGGCTGTGATTGGCTGAGGAATCGTTTGTCTCGCGCGCTTCAACAGGTAGCCGCCGCGTTCGTGTTTGCATGTTTATTAGCAAGATTAAATTTCTTTTTAAACCACAATCTTGGGGCAAAAAGAACGCGCCCGTACGCAATCGAATGCTGATTCGATTTGCAGAGCGCGACCGGTGATTTGCACAAATTAATTGTTGACATAAGACCGCGTTCACACTGTTATACTTCTTCCGTTGTTTTTATTTATTTATGTTTGATAGTAGTGTTTCATTGTGTGTTTGTCATTAAAAGATTTGTAGTTTATCCGATAGATATTTTTTAATTGTGATTTAAATGTTAGTCGTTCGATTGTATGTGTGTATTAAATATTATTTGTGTCTTTTAATTTTTCTTTATTAAATAGACGTATGTACAAACGTCTGTCTACACCTGTCTGAAGGCCTGTTGGTGAGGTGGTAAACCTTTCAATGAGTATCTAACAAACCCAAATGGCATATAGGTTAATTGTTGCAGAAAGAACACGGTTTTCCTATTTTTGTTTAATTAAAAAATACACAATAAAATACTCTTTAAAGTCAAAATTACATTCTTATAAAATATTTCACACATCTGCGTAGTTTCTAACTACAGGTAGTTAAACAACAAATAAAAAAAAATGGTAATTAACATAATAATATGTATGTACCCACCTAGTTGTAAATATTACCAACTTTTTTATTTAAAACATCATCTGAAGTGCGGTTTGTTTGTATCTTTATTAAGTATATCTAGAACCCAACAGGATTGTTAGTTTTGTATCCATATGACTTGATTTACTTGAAGGAATGTGCTTTTGTACGCTTGCAAACTTTCTATTTTTGTCTTGTAAAATTTTCCTTGCCCAGCGTTACATTTGCTGCATTTTTAAATACCTACTTATACTTTTTTGTCTCTTCCCTTATTTTAAGCTGCCTATTTAGAATAAGTATATTTGATCTCCATAGCATGGGCATGGGAGTACTGGCGTAATAATATACCACGCCCAGACACTTAGAAGGAGAAGGAACGGGGTGATTTTTGATCAGTGAGAGTCAGACACTCCCTCTCGCCTCACCAAGAGTAGGAGCAGATAAATGATGATTCTCACCTCTCAAAAAAATGACATATTTCTTTAACAATAATACATCATTCACTACATAAATCTACATCCTTTTATTTTGTATATATTTTTCTTTTTTTTCATCCGTATTTAAGGTCGCAGGAAGCCGCTGGATGCAGGTCGCTTCCAACCGGCCCATCTGGAAGTCAATGGGGGAGGCCTATGTTCAGCAGTGGACGTCCTGTGGCTGATATGATGATGATGACGACTCTTCTTTTAGAGTATAGAACACGTTAACATCATAGTTTGGAGAAAACTTTATAATAATTTATGCATATGCATATGAAAAAAATAAATAAGCTAACTGTGTCTTTTGAGACAAACCATTTTCCAATAAAACAGTAATACTAGTGTTACAGGAATACAGAAAAAATGTAAAAAGAATCTGTTTGTTTGTTTGTACTTACGTGTTTTTTTGTAACTAAAGAACAGATTGTGATTTGTTTTTTGTATAGTTTACAATAATCCCGCGCAATATAGGTATTATTAGTTTTGAAACTTTTGAACTTTGAAAATGGAACAAAAGATTGGCCAAAGACACTGGATCAAACGAAGCTAGTTTCAATTAATAAAAGGTGTGTATATGCTTTGATACCCCTAATTGTTGCACATCAAATTGTATTCCAACACCAAAAGCAAACGAGCAGACGGATTACCTGATGGTGAGCAATCGGCGTCGCCCATGGACACCCGCAACAAAGGGAGTTACGAGTGGATTTTGGGATTGGGAAGGGATTGGGGTAGGGGGAGGATTGGGCCTCCGGCAACCTCACTCACGCCGGTTTTCTGTGAGGCCGTGGTATCACTCCGGCCGAGCCGACCCATTCGTGCCGAAGCATGGTTCTCCCACACTTAATTATGACCAAACCTTATCGAGATTATTAAAACGTACAATTATAAGCTTACACTTTAAGCCTATTTAATACTTGTACGTTGATAATTACATTAGTATAAGAAAAAAAAAAATTTTTGGATACCCCTACTTGAATAAGTTCGGTTAAAATTGTGACCTTTAAGTCGCGAGGCGAGCGAGCGAAGCGATCGAGCGATCGGCAGCCGAGCGTCAAAACAGACATGTCGTGATCAATAACTAATTTTGGATTAGCAATCATTTTTTTGAAGTCACTTTCCTCAAAAAGGATAGCAAGATGTGAAATCTTTGATGATATTTTTACATTAAAATGCGGTCCTCATCTTTGATATACCTTTGATATAGTTCACTATTTTTGTCTGTTACATTTTATTATTATATGGTGTTAAAATAAAAAAAAAACCCATAAAAAATGAAAATATGCCATGTATATAGATTATCAAAATCAATATATTTAAAATCATTCCATCACCACACATAACTCCAAAACAAATCAAAACAAACCATACCTATAAAGTAATGTGGCCACACTGAGATAGTTTGTAGGACACGTTCCTACTCCACAATTATGAAGTGAGGTGACCATTAGAGAGCATTCAGTGAGGAATTGTTTGTGCCCGCGGCCTGTCTCATGCAAATTAGACCCCGTCTGGCATGCATGGGTCCATGGTACGTTTGTATGTTTGTATGGGAGTGTTAGGGGTGACGTAAGGGATATTTTATTATGATATTGTGTCGTTTATTTGCAGTAGGCTTAAACTTTAAGAGGTATATTTTGAATAAAGATAAATTTACTTACGTTGTATTGTGCCGTGTGAGTGAGGTTACCGGAGGTCCAATTCTTCTCCCATCCTCAATCCTCGAAGCCCTAATAACCCACAAGAAGCCGGTAACGCACTTGTAATAATAACTTAATAACATAACTTCTTCGATATTGAGAGTGTCCATGGGCGGCGTTGATGAGGTACTTATATACGACATAAAAAAGATAGATTTACGAGTACTAAACACAGTAAATACATTTAAACAATGAAAGAAGAAATCTCGTCAAAATTGCAATGGAAGGCCATATTGCATGCTGTGATCTTGTCCTGGTAATCTTTATTTAGAAGTACGCAACCGCCCAAACCTCTATAAACTTGCTGAAAGCCAGAATCTGCAGTAGACAAAGTGGTGTTGTAGTGTGGTATAGGTACTCTTATGAGATATCACTAAGGAATTTAGGTCATACGTGACTTTAAGTATAAACAGTGTCATATTTAATCCTTTTAAATGTATCAAATAATATCATATTAATTATCTTGAATTTGTAACTAGACCCTAATATAAACAATGTAACCAGATACATTATTAACCTATTTTATAATTATATAAAAGGGATGAATTTTCCTAAATATATTCAGTGTATACTCAACGCCCGTTTGTTTCATTTCACTCCGCTTCATCCGCACATCACATGGCGACCCTGCCAGTGCTGCCACGCGGGCAGCGCTGTGCACGAGTACAAAGTTCAGAATATAGTTATAAAAAATAAAGTAAAAATAGACTATTAAAAAGTATTGATTATTTGCAATAAAAGTGCGATGGAAATTAATAAAAAAAAGTGAGGAGATGTTGCTGGCTGCCGGGAGATGACGGAGTCAGATGTGTGTGCAGCCGGGTGCAAGCTGGTGTCCGTTGGAGGACAAAAAAGATGCGAGATCAGGAACTGTCTCCGCTACTCTTAAGCAGAAATGAAGCAACCGGACTCAAAAATGTGAGTGTAATTTAGTGAAAGTGGACACCGTATAGTTTTACCGTAAAATATTATAAGTATTAGTGATTATGTTTAATTTAAATAGAAAAATAGTATAGACATTTAAGAAATATATTGTAATATTAACTTTACTCGTATAATAGTTATGTCCCTAAATTTTTTTTCTTCTTCTAATCTTAGTAATTAGCTACCGCCTGTTGACAATCATACCCAAAATGTTGTAATTACAATTTTGTTTTATTTTAATATGATTTTGGGAAGAGAATATTTTAATAAAATTATAAAGTATATACAGGTGCAAGAGGCAAGTCCGATAGGAATGTTCCCATGCCCTAATATAGAAAGTGAAGTCATACCGAGTGTCATGTTGTATTGGAATCATGTTACTTGACACCGATTAACAATAACAACTGCACTTTGCTTTGGCTAAATAAATCAAATGAATGAAATTTGAAACTAGGTAGGCTATGGAGAGATTATATTGTTTGTATAAGTATGTAGGTTTGTTTAATATTGTTTGGAATATCTTGGTACACAAGTTTTGGCGTATGACTAAGAGCTGATCACTTAAGGTCAACGTAAAATTTTGTTCACCAAGCAATTCATTGATTGTGTTTATGTTGGAAGGCTAAGAAAGGATAATAAAAAATAATTATTAGGTACACATCGTAAGGTACAATTTAGTGATCATTTCCGTAGTTTAATAATGGTGTAGCCGAGCGCTCTCTGTTAAAATTACTGGAGGTCAAATGACACTAAATAAATAAATGAATAAATAAACTAAGCACTGAAATAATGTATAATTATGATAAAGGAATATTATAAAATAAATAAAAACAGGTACCAGAGAGTCCTGTATAATGTGCTTAGTAGGTTATGATATGTAAATGTAATATCATGTAGGTACCTCACGACGGCTACAAAGAGTTTGAAGTAAGAATAAAGTAAGAGTATTATGTGTACCTAAGTATAAACAGAAATAAGAATACGATTGTATTGCAATTAATTATTATATAATTTCAAAAGGTATAAGTATGGTGAAGATATTTTTTTTTTAGACTATGTACTTTGATGTTTTGTAATTTAAATTCCGATTCAATTAAAATTAAAAAAAATCATCATTTGTTGAAAATTGTCAACAATGCGAATATTTAAAGTAA